CAAGGTCTTTGTCTGAAATGATTAGACATGCTTTTTTATTATTGTCATTAGTGATTATCTCAATTTCGGCAAAAAGACTTGACAAAATCCTACACACTGTGCCTTTAACTTTTGCTGCTCAGTGCACTACGTCAACCAATAAGAGAGAATCATTTTTTACACGTGACGGTTTCCTGAATGTTGCCCACTAACCCACAACAGACGGACAGGAGCTCTTTAGCTGAAATCAACCTTCTGTTGGTGTTCTGACTGGAGATATCAGCACCAATGTGGGTCCGCAGCTTCTTAAACTGACAGCAGGGCTCGGAAAAAAAAAATTCCGTCAGCTCCTGAAGCGGCAAAACCACCGATCAGACTGCCTCTAAATTATCTGTTGAATTAATTATCTGGTATGCGAAACGTTCACTTGCTCTCAGTAAATAAAGCAAAGCCATTTTCTTTATTTTATTTTTATTTCACCCGCCACTAAAGACAGACCGGACAAAACCAAGATGCTCCTCCCTCTTCAGACACGCGTCTAGTCTGTGTCCCGGCCTGTGTCCCGGTCTGAACGTAGCGCGTTCAACTGGAGGTGTTGGGTGCATTTTTGCTGCTCAAAACGTGTTTGGTGTGAACCCGGTTTGTGCTCTGTGATGAGGAAGTTCAGCTTGGAGACAAAGAGGAGGAGCTAGTCCCAAAAGGTGGTTCTAATTCCAACCGGTCATATTTGCTCCCCTGCCTGCTGCCTCAGGACACCACAGGATTTCTTAAACATGCATGAATGAATCAAAGCAAGACTCTGGACATGTTTTTGATGAGAGGATAACACTATAACATGATACAAAACTCAAAAAAGTTGATTTTACATGATATTGCCCCTTTAAGTAATAACTTTTTTATACCCCTCATGGATCAGGTTTGGACACTGCTGATCGAGAAAGTTAAACAATACCTTCCATTCCCCAAAAGTCTTCATCAGCATCAGTTAGGTGTTCATTTTTCTTCCATTCGCCTCACTTTTCTCCAACACTGTCTCTGTGTCCAACAGTATATAGATTTATGGACAGCTGTGGACACATTACATGATTCTTTGCCAGATTTTACCCACACATCCCAAACAGGTGTAGTCTGCACTTTAAGAAACTGTTGGCACCAGAGTTGGACGGTATTGGCATAGCAATTTTTTTACAATTAATTGTGGCATTTGGCTGATAACGATTAATATAACTTTTAACAGATATTCAATAGCACTTGTATGTGGCAGACATTGCAGCCTTGGTCTGCTTTTTTTCAAGCTTTCCTCATACCCTGGTTTATGTCAGTGTTTCAGTTGATTAAATAAGTTTGTAAAGTTAAAATTAGCATTAGTTGCTTGGCGCTGCCTTCCACCACTGGGCTAACATGCCCACATGATAGTGATAGTGTGTTGCACACAAAAACACGTCATCACCTGGCACTAATTTTTGCAGTACTTGCAAAGTGACAAATAGTAATTGTTGACAGTTTTTCCTGATGATTTTTTGCACACAACACAATTTTGCCCAATCCAAGTTGGCACAGCTAGGTGGTACAAAAATATGTTAGTGTGCAAAGGGTAAAGATTCAAAATCTGCCAAGTGTGTGGGGGCAACAGACCTGATCCAACCTCAGTGTCAGTCAGTCAAACATGCTGCTTGAGTTTCTTAAACCGCTTTATGGATGTCATTGTTTAATAGAAACTGATTATCGACCCTACTGAAGGCTTTTGTTGCCTTTAGTCAATTAAGAAAAGAGATGTTGGGACACAGGAAATCGTGTCAGAAGAACAGATACAGTGGTTTGCAAAAGTATTCATACCCCTTGAACTTTTCCATATTTTGTCACATTACAACCACAAACATAAATATATTTCACTGGAATTTAATGTGAAAGACCAACACAAAGTGGTATACAATTGTGAAGTGGAAGCAAAATTTTACATGAATCAAAACATTTTTTACAAATAAAAAACTGAAAAGTGCGATGTGCAAAAGTATTCAGCCCCCCTGAGTCAATACTTTGTGGAGCCACCTTTTGCTGCAATTACAGCTGCAAGTCTTTTAGGGTATGTCTCCACCAGCTTTGCACATCTAGTGACTGCAATTCTTGCCCATTCCTCCTTGCAAAACAGCTCAAGCTCAGTCAGATTGGATGGAGAGCGTTTGTGAACAGCAGTTTTGAGATTTTGCCACAAATTCTCAATTGGGTTTAGGTCTGGACTTTGACTGGGCCATTCTAACACATGAATATTCTTTTTTTTAAACCACTCCATTGTAGCTTTGGCTTTATGTTTAGGGTCGTTGTCCTGCTGGAAGGTGAACCTCCGCCCCAGTCTCAAATCTTTTGCTGACTCCAACAGGTTTTCTTCCAAGATTGCCCTGTATTTGGCTCCATCCATCTTCCCATCAACTTTGACCAACTTCCCGGTCCCTGCTGAAGAGAAGCACCCCCAGAGCATGATGCTGCCACCACCATATTTGACAGTGGGGATGGTGTTTTCAGAGTGATGTGCAGTGTTCTTTCTCCGCCACACATAGCGTTTTGCATTGTGGCCAAAAAGTTCAATTTTGGTCTCGTCTGACCAAAGCACCTTCTTCCACATGTTTGCTGTGTCCTCAACATGGCTTCTGGCAAACTGCAAACGGGACTTCTTATGGTTTTCTTTTAACAATGGCTTTCTCCTTGCCACT